AGGAGAAAGTAAAGAAATTCATATACTAAGTGACTTTATTCTATCTTTTTTTCATATTAAGCACAGAGACTAAAGTTTGGTCACTGTCATAAATTCACTTGAACAAGCATTAGACTAAGGAAGTAAGTGTAATAACCTTTAGACCAACTGTGTATTACTTAAATTCAAGAAAAAACATTTCAGTGTATATGCTGGATATTCTTGGGTATAGTTGGTTGGTGGTTGTTTTTAGAGAGATTTTTGCTACAGGGTGCATGTGCTCGCCATAAAAACAAAGAAACAGAGATACAGAAAACAAGAAATCACCCCCCAAAGGGGGATGGCATGCCACAATCCCTTCTCCTCTATTCTCCTCTTGATATTTTGGGCATGCACATACATGTGCCTGGCGTTGAGTTTCAAGCCACTAGGTCTGGGACTCAATCCGCGGCCCACTATGTGGTAGTCCAATGACATCTCCTGGTTCAATACTTAGGTATAGTATGTTCAGGCAAATATCGAGAGTGTGTAGGTATGGTGCATGCCTAATAATGGGCCCCAATGGAGATGCAACAGACTCACACAAAAATTGTCGCTGATTTATGACAATAATGAACCTGGAAAAAAAAGTGGTTTTTAGTTGATGAAAATAGGTCAAATCGATATCCACATTCTAAAAAAAAGAATCAACCACTTCTTTGCTCCATAAACAAAAATCAATTCCACATGTGTTACATCTAAAAGTGAAAAATAAAACATAAAAAAAGGGCAAATATATTCATATCCTTAATATAAGAACTTTTGAGCCATCATGACCTACCCGAAGCAGCATCACTGCCACATTTGGGGGCTTGGGGTCTCTCTCTTGCAACACAAACACCTTTCAGCAAAAGAAATGAAGGAAGGAAGAAACAAATGAATGAAGGAGTGAAGGAACAAAGGAAGGAAGGAAAGAGAAAACAAGGAAAAGAAAACATCAATAAAAAAAAATGAAATGCCCATCAAAAAAAAAAAAAAAACGCAAAAAGAGAGTGATAAAGCAAGGTGCAAAATTGAAGATATCTTGTCCATCAAAGGACTCAGAGCCAGGAGAAAAAAAAATCAAATCAATAATAGGGCGGTGGGGGGGAAGACAAGTCAATAGAAAAATGGAAAAATGTCTTGAACAGCTATTTTATGAAAGAGGTTATCCAAAAGGCCAATAAACATTTGAAAAGATCCATGCCCTTGTTAGTCATCACCATCAGAAAAATTAATAAACCACAAGGCTATTTCAACATCCACCTACAAAAATCACTACAATAAAATGGATAAACAATACCCACATTGGTGAGAATGGGTAGCAACCAGAATTCTCACACACTGCCACTCAAAATGTAAATTAGTACCAACACTGAACTTTTTAGCACTATCTGCCATCAATAAACATCCCAAGATCAGCAATTCTAACTGTAGATATATAACTACCATAAATAAAAATGTATGTTCATGGAAAATCATTACAAGAAAATTCATAGTAATTCTATTTATAATAGACAAAACTAAATACAACCTAATTGTTATGTCCATTGCTGGTGGAAAAGATATATACACTGTGGTATAGTTACAAAGTAACACTACAACCAACAAAAATTAGTAAAATGGTACTATTTGCAACATGGATAAGTCTCATAAATGTAATAAAGTTAACAATGTAACACACAAAAGAACATATATTACATGATTCAATTTATATAAAATTCCAAAAGTCCAAAATAGTGTATGATATGTAAGAAATCAGGTGCTAGCCCCATTGCTCAGCAATGAAGTCAGATCCCATATGTCCAACTGTGGTTTAAACTCTAGCCATGACAACTTCAAAAACATACCAGGCATATGTACAAGTAAGACCAAATTCCTGTAGTATAAGGAGAAAGAGGGGCTGGCAGGGGGCTTGGTGGTTAAGAGCGTTGGAATCCCACATAGCTCACCATGGTTCAAGTCCTGAACCTGGCAGCTTTTTCTCTCTCTCTCATTAAATTAAAATAAATAAATAAATGGATAAATAAAGTTAAATTAAAACAAACAAACAAAAAAACAACTCTGGAGCTAGGCTACCTGGATCCAGGTTTTTTGTTTAAAATTAAAAAAGAAATAGAGAAAAAAAGGACAGCACCAGACCCCCATACCATTGGGAGGTTCTTCCTGTCTGTCACTCACTTGCTTGCTCACTCTCACATCAGTGCTCAAACCCTCTGGCAATCAAAAGAAAAAGAAATTAGGATTTTGTTTGCTCTTGGGCAAGATGGACTGGGAGATAGCAGAAAGGACATATAGGCTACTGGTATTAGATCTTTTTTTAGGTTTAAGTATGGATTACATAGGTAAATCCACTTATTAAAATGCACTAAGTTGAACACATAGTACTATGCTTTATGTATTGTTACACTTTAATAAAAAGCACATATAAGTTAGAAAACAAATAAATAAATAAAAATAAAAATAAAAACATAGGGCTGGCCCCATGGCTAAGTGCTTATGAAAGCCAGATCCCACATGGCCAACCATGGTTCGAAAAAACATGCCAGGGGGAACCAGCAGTTAGCGTAATGGCTATGTCGCTTGACTCCCACATAGTCGGCTGCAGTTCGCGTCCCGGACCCGGTGGCTTAGAACTCACGCCGGGCGCGTGTGCGTGCGCGCCCAAGATCCCGAGAGGAGAACGGAGGAGAAGGGATTGCAGCGTGACCATCCCCCGTGGGGGGTGATTTCTCGCTTTCTGTCTCTGTCTCTCTCTGTCTGGCGAGTGAACGTGCCTTATTGTGAAAATCTCTCCCCCCCCAAAAAAAAAACATGCCAGGCATGTGCACATTATATGCTCAAAATCCTAACAAGAAGGAGAAATGGAAAAGAAGGGATTGTGGTGTGACCGGCCCCATGGGAGGGTTTTCTCTTCCCCACCCACTCAGTCTTCAGCAAGTGCACACACACTCATTACAGTACATTGTCCAGCTGCTGCACTCACCCTCACTGATTTCATTATCTTGAATTTAATCTTCCTTAACCCCAATACTGCCAAATGTCTGTATAGGCCAAGACTGTGATAACCTTTCCAAATTCATTGTTTTGCTCAACAACCTCAGACTCTGTGGTCAGTACTAGTAGCTGAGACAATGAATGACAAGAGAGCCAGGTCTGAGTCCTTTCTCATCATTAGTCATAGATTTCCTATGACTAACACCTTATGCCCAGTGAGGACCATGATATGATGGGAATCTATGTTCCTGCTTCTTTGGCAAGGATTTTAAAAATTATTTATTTTTTAAATTTACATTTAATCATTATACATCTTTATAGCATATGACATTGGGTTCTCAAAGCATAAATACATTGGATATCAAGCAAGTCAAAGATAATACTTTACACAGTAACTTTCCATCCTTGTGTCATGTTTTTCTTGCTGTTTATTTAATTTTATTATTTTTCTTATTTTACATTTTTTTCCACATTTTATTGAGTCACAAAATATCTTAAACTAAAACTATGGACAAAGCTAGAATCTAGTTACAAGTGCACTGTACTACCTCTCAGGATTGTGTTAAGATTTTTTTGGGGGGGAGAGGTTTTTGCCATAGGGTGCGTGCACTCGCTAGACAGACAGACAAAGACAGAGACAGAAAGCAAGAAATCACCCCCTAGGAGGGACGGCCACGCCGCAATCCCTTCTCCTCCATTCTCCTCTTGGGATCTTGGGCACGCACGCACACGTGCCCGACATGAGTTTTAAGCCACTGGGTCCGGGACTCAAACTGGCGCCGACTACTTGGGAGTGCAGTGACACATTATGCTAACTGCTGGTCCCAGGATTTTTTTTTTTTTTTTTTTTGGATTTTCACTGTAGGGCGCGTGCGCTCGCCAGACAGACAGAGAGAGACATAGAGACAGAAAGCGAGAAATCACCCTCCAGGGGGGATGGTCACACCGCAATCCCTTCTCCTCCATTCTCCTCTCGGGATCTTGGGCATGCACGCACACGCGCCCGGCGTGAGTTTTAAGCCACCGGGTCCGGGACACGAACTGCGGTCGACTACGTGGGAGGCCAGCGACATAGCCATTACGCTAACTGCTGGTTCCCTGGTCCCAGGATTTTGACACCATTTTTTACCTTCTCTGTTCATTAAATAGTTATGAAATACTTCATATCCAGCATTTTAAAACTTTCAATATTTTTAAAAATCTGGATACTTTAGTTTCTCTTCATATAAAATGTTCCTCCATATGCAATTATTATAGGCACTATTTTATGGCATATTTCCTTAGAGCAAAGCAATCAGAATTCTACATATTATCTGAAAAATAACCCCAAATTTTTCTATCACATTTCTGTCATTAAAAAGTAGGATAAGCTGGAGCCAGCAGGTGATGTAGTGATTAAGACACTGGACTCTCATATGGCTGACCACAGTTGCAGTCTTCGTTTCAGTAACTTAAAAGATCACGCTGGGTGTATGTGCGCACAAAATCTCAGGAGGAGAATGTAAAAGGGGCTGCAGCATGGCCATCTCCCCATGGGGTGATTTGTCACTTTCCCTCCTACTGTCTCTTTCTGCTTCTCTCCAATAGGTGAAGGCATCCTATGGCAAAAACCTTTTTAAAAAAATAATTTTAAAAATGTAGGATAAACGTTCCAGCAAAGGATGCTGCTTCTTATCCCTCTAAATCTTAATAAGCAACACTAAAACACCACTTTCTTCTTGCTTTATCAGTCCTCTCATCCTGACTACATATTGCTTCTCATAATGTAGTATTTATTAAGTTTCTCAAAACATGCTCTGCAAAGAGAAAAAAAAATACAAGAAAACAACTAACTTCTTCACATTGCTGTCTCTGTATGCTAATATTCCATTCATTTACATACCTGATTCATTTATTCTTTCAACATTTATATAGGTCTCTGATTCCTGTGACAATTCATGTCAATATCACATACCACCAAAGGTAGGGTGTTAAATATTCCTATTCTTCTGTGGGAATCACATACAATGCTCACTTCAACACATATACTAAAAATTGGAATGATACAGAGAAGATGAGCCCAGCCCCCTGCACAAGGATGACACACAAATTTGTGAAATACTCTGTATTTTTAGGTACACTTAATCACACACACACACACACACACACACACACACACACACGATTAACAATGTGAGGTAATGGCTATTTTAATTCACTTGACTATAGTAATTACTTCACTCTGTATATATGCAGCAATATGTAGTCAGGATGAGAGGACTGATAAAGCAAGAAGAAAGTGGTGTTTTAGTGTTGCTTATTAAGATTTAGAGAGATAAAAGGAAGTATCCTTGGAGAGTTTATCTTACTTTTTTTTTATCTTAGATAAAAAAAAAACAAAAAGAACCATTTACAAACTTCATATATAAGTATTCTACTGCAGCCTTTTTGATAGTTACAAAACATCAACATCACTGTTCATTAGAAATGGAGAAATATGGAGCCAGCAGATGACATGGTAGTTAAGACACTGGACTTCCACTTAGCAAACTCAGGTTTGAGTCCCAGACCTGGCAGATTACTTCCTCACTTTCCTTTTGTCTTTTTCTCTTTCTCTTTTTTTTCTCTCTCTCTTAAGCCTGTGCCCTACAGCAAAATTCAAAAATAATAAAATAGTAACAATAATAAAAATACTTCTTTTTAAAAAAAAGGAGAAATGTTACTACATTTCACAAAAGAAAACACTGAATCATGAGTAACTGAAATAACTTTTCCAATATAGTGATTCACTAACAGCATTAAAACCACAAACTCAGGTTTTCCAGGGTCTGAACTATAGGTTATTTTCATACATTACTTCCACCATATGTACCAGGAAGATAGAAATGTAGCTGTGCACTAAACGTGCTCTGCAAAGAATTTTATTGAGCATGTTAGTTTAAGGTAAGTACAGTTAAACAACAAAAGTTTACTAAAGACCCTCAGGACTCCTGGATTCCAAAGAGCAGAGACTCCAAATGCAAAAGTTTCTAAATTATTTAACTGTCAAAAGGTGACAGAAAACCAATTATTTTAAATGAACTATGCAGTACACAATTTGGGCAGTGCTGTGAAATGTTTATGAAACAGTTGATACTTGTTAACTGGCTAATAATATTCTCTACTTGTTTAAAACTGCTTTCTTTTGATAAAATGTTTACCTTCATTCTCTAGGTTTTTATTATATATACCAAGAAATACTGAAAACACATCACTTTCAGGAATACTGAAGTAAAAACAAGAAACCCAAACTCAATGACTGTTTAAAGATATCTAAACATTTACTATTAAAAACTGAAATACTGAGCCAGCAGGTAGCATTATACTTCCACATGGCCAACTGCAGTTCAAGTCCTGGGCCCGGTAGTTTGAAAATCACAGTGTGGGTGTGCATAATGCCCGAAGTCCTTAGAGAAGAATGGAGGAGAAGGGATTGTGGTGCAGCCATTGCTACTGGTGGATGACTTCTCACTTTCCCTCTCTCTGACTCTCTCCAGAAAGCACAAATGCCCTATGGCAAAACAAAAAAACTAAAAACAAACACACAAATAAATATCATCTCTCAAAACTGTATTTTTGGGAACCAGCAGTTAGCGTAATGGCTATGTTGCTGGACTCCCACGTAAACGACCGTGGTTTGCGTCTGGACCCGGTGGCTTAAAACTCACGCCGGGTGTATGTGCGTGCGTGCCCAAGATCCCGAGAGGAGAATGGAGGAGAAGGGATTCCGGTGTGACTACCCTCCACCCCCTGGGGGGTGATTTCTCGCTTTCTGTCTCTATGTCTCTCTCTGTCTGTCTGGCGAGCGCACGCGCCCTATAGCAAAAACCTGTCCAAAAAAAAAAATTGTATTTTTGTCTTTTTTGTAAGAAACTGCTCTCCGGGATCAGTAGATAACATAATGGTTACATGGCAGGACTCCCACGCAAGTGACCAAGGTTCAAGTCCCAGATCTGGTAGATTAAAACTCACGCTGGACAAATGTGCGAGTGTGCCTAAGTTCCTGAGAGAAGAACAGAGGAGAAGGGATTGTGATGTGGCCATTCCCCCCTGGGGAGTGATTTCTCACCTTCTGTCTGTCTCTGTTTCTCCAGCAAGTGCACATCCATATAGCAAAAGTCTCTCTTAATAATAATAATAATAATAATAGAGGGAAAAAACAGAGTAAGCATCGGAATCAGATATGGCAGAGATCTGGAATTATCAGAATGGAATAAAAAAACTATTATTAAAATGCTAAGTGCTTTAATGAAAAGGGCAGACAACATGCAAATACATGAATAATGCAAGCAGAGGGGGGAAATCCTGAGAAAGAATAAAAAAGAAATATCAGAAATCAAAAACACAGTAACAAAAATAAAGAATGCCTTTTCTAGGCTCATTGTAGACTAGACACAGGTGAGGAAAGAATTTCTGAGCTTAAGGATAGGACAATAGAAACTACTTACAAAACTAGAAAGCAAAGAGAAAAAGACTGGGTGGGGTAGGGGTCTGAGAAACAACAGGCCATTCAAGAACTGTGTGACAACTACAAAGGGTGAAACTTACATGAACAAAGGCTGAATATTTCCCCAAGATTAATGTTAGACATCAACCTGCAGATAAATGAAAACTTAGAGAACACTAAGCAAGATAAATGCCCACCCCAAAAGAACCATTCCCCCTTATGCTTATCATATTTAAGTTGTAAAATATCAAAGATAAACTTAAAAATCCTAAAAGACAACAGAGACAAATAACAATAATAATAATGTACTTATAGAGGCATAAAGAATTCCACTGAACTTCTCAGAAACTATGCAAACAAGAGGAAAATGAAGTGAAATATTTCAAGTGCTGAGAGAAGAATAACCTAAAATTAAATCTGTCCTACAAAAATAACCTTCAAAAGTGAAAGGGAAATAAAGACACTGCTATAGTGTGAATGTCCCCCATAATTCATTTATTGGGACTTGGTTATATTGTATAGGTGTTAGAAAACCTAATCCTTTGATAATATCCCAGTGTAGAGCCTCTAGGTGTGGTACAGCCACTAGAGAGGGACTCCTAATACTGAGTAGAGGTGTGTTTATAAAAGAAAAAAGGAGACCAGAAAAGACAGAAAACTTACAAACAGCTGCCCTACTCAAGATCCTGCCCTGGGTCCAATAGGTGGTGCTGGATTCCCACATTGCAGAACATGGTTAGAATCCTGGACCTTGAAGGCTTGTCTCTTCACTTTCTCTCTCTCTCTCTCTCTGTCTCTGGTCAAATTTAAAAAAATGGTAATAGCAAATGGAATTAAATAAATACATAATTCCTTATTAAAAAAAAAAAGTTCCTGCCCTCTAACATACTATAGTTCACCAGAAACTGACCCGTGGACCCTGAACCTCCAAATCATGAATTGAATAAACTTGTTTCTTTATCAATTAACCCCATCTCATGCATTTCTGTACACAATTCGGTAAAATAGATATTCTCAGACAAACAAAAATTGAAGAATTGGTGCCGACAGACCTACTTTGCAAAAAATGTCTGAAGTTCATAAGACAAAAGGAAAATTATATGTTCCGGAAACTTAGATCTACATAAAGACAAGGAGAACAAAGAGCAAATAAGTGAAGGTAAAATAAAAATATTCTTCTTTTTCTTTTTTAAGTTTTGCTATAGGGCATGTACACTTGCCAGAGAGACAGAGACAGAGAGAGACAGAGAGAGAAGGAAAGTGAGCAATCACCCCTCACAGGCAACAGCCACGTTGCAATCCCTTCTCCTCCAGTTTCCTCTTTTGGGCACACAAGCACATGTGCCCAGCATGATTCACTTCCATCTGGCCCAAAACTTATTTTTCTTATTCTTAATTGAGCTAACAGGTATGAGTTTGCTCAAAAGAATGGCAAAAATATGTTCAATCATGTATACTTATATATAAATGAATAAATGATAGAAGAAATCAGAAATGTTTTAAAGTACTTAATTACTCACAGAACAATAAAGTATTATTTGAGAATGGAGTTGTGTAAGTTGTACATGTATACTGGAAACACTAAAAAAAGTTAAAGAACTAAAATTAATTTGCTTAAAGGCCAGCAGGTGGCATAGTGGTTTAGGCTCTGGACTTGCACATGGATGACTGCACTTTAAGCCACACTAGTGGCTTGAATATCACACTGGGCCTGTGTGCATATGCATGCCCAAAATCCCAAAAGAGAATGGAGGAGAAGCGGCTACAGCATGGTCATCTTTCCTAGGGAGTGATATCTCACTTTCCCTTTCCCTTTCTCTCCCTCCTTCTCTCCCTCTGTCTCTGACAAGTGCACACACCCCCAAAAAACGAATTGCTAAAAAAATGTGAGAGAAAATGGAATACTGTAAAATGTTCAACAGAAAGTTTAAAAGAATTAAAAAAAAAAAAAAAAAGGAAGACACAAATAGTTACAAAGACAAGGGCAACAGGGTCAGACAATGACACAGCTGTAAGACAAAACTTTGCAAAGCTGACCTACAAAGGAAGGTTCTGGGTTTGCATCTTAGAGACCTCCCTGAACATACTGATGTGCCAGTGCTCACATTCTGTAGCTGGCTAACAGAGGGAACAGACTGCAGAATAAAGACCCTGCTGAGAGAGGGCCCTTTAAGTCTTTCTTTCTCTGCCTCTATCACTCTATCACTCACTGAAGAAAGACCTTTAAAAAAAAAAAGGCAAACAAATAGAAACCAGTAATAAATTCAATAGTTATTAATCTAACTATATCTATAATGGCTACAAATGTCAGTAAAGTTGTATATCACTTAAGGATGGGACTAGGTTCTCAAAAATGCATTGTTAAGCAATTTCACTGTTCTGGGAATATCATCATAGTGTGTAAGTACACAAACCTAGCTGATAGAGCCTACTACACACCTAGGCTTTATGGTATAGCCTATATGCTTTTTATGGGACCACAGTCACATATGTGGTCTGTTGTTCACCAAAACATCTTCATATAGTACAAGACTGTAGTCTAAATATACCCATAAAAAAAAAAAAAAGACTGTCAGAGTGGTTCTAAAATAAGACCCAACTATTGAGTCATTGGCAAAGTCATGATGAATTTTTACATTGAAAAATA